CTATGTACTGATCTCTCTCTCTCTCTCTCTCTCTCTCTCTCTCTCTCTCTCTCTCTCTCTCTTAATTTTTCTTTCTCGTTTTCCTCTTTCTTTAGTTTAATGTTATATAATGTTTTATTCATTTTAGTCTTTTTTATCTAATGAACATGTACACAAAAGAGAGAGCTACTTTTTTCCCTTTCTTTCTTCTTTTTATCAGGTGGAAAATTTGTCTTGATTTTGGTGCACGACATATCAGATATTTGCTCAAAGATGTAGTTACTAGGATCTTTAATCATTCCATGTAGTGCCATGTCTGATTTGCTTGTTTTTATCTGTATATTGCCCGGGCAGGCGAAAAATCACGATATTTAGGTGATGCAATGCCCCCAGCACTTCTTTTGCTTGTTGACTTTTTAGGATAATATTCTTATCAACTATTTATAACCAGCAACTGAATTGTTCTAGAAATCTTGACTTTTCGTTTTTGTTATGTAATTTTGAAATTGTCTTATTTTTCTATTTATTTTACAGTAGATTTTATCTATTTATCAATTATCGATAATCATGTATTTATATATAGCTAAAATAAAATTCACTTTGGTTGCTCGAACAAAAACAAAAACAAAAGCAAAAAAAATAAAAACAAATAATGTAATTTTATTTCCAAGTGTTTTTATCTAAACTTTCGACTTTGTTTGCTTTTTGTTGTTGTTTTGGGTTTTTGCTAGATTGTTACGTTTTATCCTTTTGTTACTTATAATGTGTGTAAAATCTTATTTTTACGATTCAGTTTGGCCACTACTGCCAATATCATACATTAATTGATTAGCACTAATATTTATTATCTATATTTTTGGAAATTACAACTTTAGAAGAAAAAAAAATTGTCCTAGCAACAAGAATGCTGACTCATTGAAAAAGGTTCACGGAATTTATAAAAATAGATTTTTAAATTGTATTATATTAATGACGTAAAATCCAAATTTCTACCTTGCCCAAGCGAGCAAAATCAAATGCGCACAAACTAAACATGTGATTAGAATTTTTTTTAAAAACATGGATTTAATTTAAGTCTCTAGGTGCGAAGCTGAAAAATTATGATGAAATTTCTGAAAGATTTTCAAACGCTGTTGATGTTGGTCAAGCTCGTTAATGATATAAATTGATAGCATTTCTATAGAAACTAGTTTCTCTCGTTTAAACACGTATTAAACAATCTGAAAATAGCCTGTTGCTAAGCTGGACGGTATATAAGGGAGTTGGTTTAGCATGTTTTATTCACTCTACAACTCTGGAAACTCATTGCTCGACAAAGAATTTTGGCTTCAAGATTGTCAACTGATCTACCCAGTCAAGGTGAATATACTATCGTTTCATTATATATTATGGGTGTAGAGTTAGAGAGGGGAACGATGGATTAGAGTCGATCAGTATGAAGTAATAGATAATGAATTATTGTAGATTGGCACACGAACTTTGTATAATGGCAAATTATAGTGATTATTCTTGGAGGGAGGAAGGAAGGAAGGAAGGGAGGAAGGGAGGAAGGAGAGAGGGAGGGAGATAAAGAAGGAGGGAGGGAGAGAGGGATGGGGGGAGGAAGGGAGGGAGGGAGGGAGGAAGGGAGGGAGGGAGGGATAGCAGCCGAAAGAGAGGAAAATATGACCTATTAGTATAAATGAAATTACAATACAATATACTTTATAAGTTGCTCCCGAACGCGGGAAATTTCAGACTGAATTTACACATTTCAACTTTTCTATTTGTTCAACAGATGAAGAGTCTTGTAGTTTCGCTGTTGTTTCTGAGCTGTGCGCTCGTCGTCTTCGCCAGTGACTCGAACGATGAAGAAGCATCCAAAATACTTATCCCTCGGCCTCCTCCGCCTCCAAAGCCATCACCTAACATCTATCTCCCAGGGATCGTCATCAGTTCCAATTCATCCCCCTTGGGTGTACGATACTGTTACTGCTTTGCCTTCAAGTGTCACGGTAATGTCTGATGATGAAATGTTTCAACACTGAATAACCCATAATCATTCAATTAAACGCTTGGTTCTTCATTTATAAACCCTCCCAGTGTGCTATTAGTCTCCCTATATTCATCCAGCTACCCGTCGTATTACCATCCTATCCATCCATCTTTCCATTTCTACATCCTTCTCTTCCTTCCTTCCTTTCTTCCTTCCT